TTGTTTATATATATATATATATATATATAAACAAACACTAGAGGAAAGAGGTTCATATTGAACAAAATTATAATCCTATTACCTTGTTGTTTGAGAAGATGTAGATGAGTAATTTTGAGGTAATGTATTGTAAATGCATGTTCCTACTTTGCTGTTAATGGCAATTTTAGCACAGGGGGCATAGCTGAAAATAAGGGCAGAACCCCCTCCATTCCTAACGATGCTAGTTTACCATGATGACAGGGGACCCCACTGCCAAGAATCATTAGTCACTTCGAACACTGACTTCAAAGCTTTTAGTCCCATGAAAGCTCAGTGTCCTTGTATGGCTGGTTAGTCATTTGTTTGTTAATCAATCTTGTACTTTGATGAGACCTATTAAGGGCTCTGGTCATGAAAGGCTACCAAATTTGAATTGTTACATCATGCATCCATAGAGATGTGGTAAGCAACAATAAAACCAGTAAGTTTATATTATGAGCATACAACCATTGAAGATGTTATAAATCAACCAATCAACAACAAAAAATTGTTTGTTGAAACATTCACTTTAATGCTTATATAATGTTGCCCTTCACATTAGTGTACATATAAGTTTTTCTCCCAAATGGATTTAATAATCACTTGTCAATAAAGTATACAAGTGCCAACATTATAAGTATATCATTTTTCAATACAACTATTGGACTGATTATTCCCAACACAATTTAACAGCTAATAGTGCACAAGCTCCACGGCCAGCTCCCACACATCCTCAGCAATCTTGGAACAAGAAAAAAAGTACAAAACACACTAAAGATTACTTCTGAAAAACAATCTATATGTTTTACCCAACTGCTATACTGTACAGTAGATCACTGTAGAACATTATTGCTGCCTTTGAACAGAAGCTGGCCTGTTGCTTCTCTAGGATGTCGTGCTTCCACAAAACATTAGCTTTTTATGGACAAACAACAAGCAGACACAACTGCAGGATACAAGTAAATCATAGAAATTCAATAACCACAGCTTATAGCTTTGCCCATGTTAAAATGCCTCAGCACCCCTTTAATAATCTTAAAAGGGTAAAAAAGCACAATATGTTAAATACACTACACTCTGTTCACAGCTGCAGCAAGTTATAATATGAATTTAAGACTCAGTAATACCATTTTTGGCAAATAAAAAATAGCTTTGAGTATTTATGTGCAGGGCATTTAAAGATATACATTCAAAGATACAGCGTATTCTGGACAAATGTCCTCAGTGAAAATGCTTACTTGCAAAAACATGTTCAATATATGTACAGGCGGCAGATATTCTCATCTTCTTTAGCACCTTCTATTGTACCACAAGAAGCAAATACATTACAGACAACGCACTGAAAGTGTCAGGAGACCCTGAAAAAATGATAAAGCTGCCTGGGACTGGTGTCACACAGCACACCAGTACCTTCATTATTTAATGTGTGAGCCAAAGTCAGGAATACTAGTATTTTTGCATTTGTGCGATCTTGCTTTTTAATTTCATTGCACAATGTTGCCAATTAAGGCATTTATTTCTCTAATATCCCACCATATGAAATGACACACCACTTTCCATTAACATAGTATAATTAGACCTCTACAACTCCATGCAGACACTCTGTAAATAAAGAATCTGTTTTCATTTCTCTGGCTAGCTCAGAAGCCAGTACTAGATAAAAGAACAGATTTAATTCTGTAACAGTGTACTTTTTAATGCACTGTCACCAGCTCCACTCATTTCTTTCCAGACAGAGCTATATTGCACCATAGAAAAATAATAATAATAATAATAATTAAAAAAAAAAAATACAGTGATATCACTTGTGTTTTCAAGTAATTAACCATGTGTAGCTACTTTCTCCTCAGTACTCTGTGTCAGATCCTTCAGCTGCGTCTGTGTTGCGTGATAGCATGTAGTTATCCATGTCAATGGAGGGGCAGTTATGGATGGAGTAACGTAGGCGCTCGGCTAGCAATGCCTGGCTGGTATATGGCGGCAGCCGCAACTGGAAGAAGCAGGTCTGAGCTGTGGGGAGGCCATTTACAGGCTGCAGAGGGAGAAAAAAAATGAAGCATTTGAAAATAAGTCCTCTTTATAATATAATACATTTTTAGAATTAATGTATGTTTCAACAAGATTTTATTAACGTAAGAATTGTGATTTAGTGATTGAAAATAAATCTATTTGAAAAGTTAATGACACCAAAAGTTACAGTAGTGGCTTGGTTGATGAGGTTAAATATATCTATATAATCACTGGCCAGTTTGTTAGGTACCACCTGCTTACTAACACAAATCGACAGGTATTGCAGATGAATACGTGATAAACTGGCCATTCAGTGCTAATCTCTAAACTGGGTGTAGGGCTGCATGATATATCATTTCAGCATAGTGATCACGATGTCTGCATACGTAAAAATCACATCGCAGGACGGGTGATGTCAGGTAAGGTAAATTAAATCAAACACGTCATGCTACAACTTTTTTGCTGTTTGATAGAAATGGAAATCTCATACGGTTCTCATTTTCCATGACTAATCGACAAGAGAAGTCTGTCTGATATAATTTCATGCGATTTAAGGGTTTTTGGGAAAAACAGAGATTGGTGCTAGTGAGTGACATGCAAGCTCTACCCGTTACAGCAAACCACCAATCACAATGAGGCCTGGGCGATGTGTGATGTTAATATTGAGATTGCATGGTACGTACATCACAAGGACCACGATAGTCAGCTGGGTTGAGATCAGGCTGAATCAACCTTCATACTGTCCAGACATTATACTGCAGTATATGGTATTTTCAAAAACATCTTTTTTTTTAGTCTTTCATGGGAAACAAAACTTTGCAAGCTTTGCAATTTTAATGGTTGTTCCCTTTCAAGACCATCATATCTTTCCAAATCAATTTAAAGTTTTCCATTGCTGCTTTTGCACTCTTTGAGCCAATCATAATCATTTCCACCATTGCTGTTTAAATCACTCATAAGTAGGTATGTGAGAAATTAATTTACTTTGAACTTTTTTTTGGTTTATAAATATCGCAATATTTATCACAAAAAATCAAATTGCAATATCTGAACATTTCCAATATCATGCAGCGCTAATTGGGTGTTAAATTTACTAAATTATTTGCACAGACAAATATGATTGGATATATAAAGAATAACGTTTCAGCAATTCAAAAGAGGAAGCAGTAAAAAGAAACTGATTTAAAAAATATTTTACATAGTCTTACCCTGTCCACTTTGATGATCTGAAATTTCTGGGTGATGTCAGCGGGATTAGAGGGTAACCTAGAACGTCCCGAAACAAAGCGCAGGAAAAGCACCCTCTCCTCATTGGTGAATTCCTCCAGGCTCTGCCACAGCCACCCAATAAGCTGGTGGCTGTCCGTGATGTCACGGTAACGGACAACCTTCTTTAACATCTCCACGGAGACCTCTGGCAGACCACAGACAAGCTGCTCCAGCTGCTTAGCAGTGAGGAGGGACAGGAGGGGCACTGGGATAATGGAGGACATCCCCTCTCGTACTGCCATCACCTGGGCACAAAACATCGTGCGGAGGGCAGCTTTTATAAGTTAAACTTGAATTAAAGGAATTTGCTTTCATTAGGGTGATTATCATCCAGTGCGATCAGGTTATAATTCCTTATGAAGGGCAATTGCTACTATTAAAACAATCTTCATCAAGGGATACGTTTTCCTGATGACTACTACAGTACGCCCCTTCTAAAATACTACAGAATGAGCTTCCCAACCCTTAAAGTGAACTACAAACAAATGTGAACTCTGATTCACCTGCTGGTCCATTTCGTGCAATCTGTAGTGAAGGGCATGTTCCACATAATCATTTCTGTTAGCGAAAGTCAATGGGATGTTATTCCCTCCCGGCACCACCGGCACCAGCTTTCCATCGGCACTATGTACTGTGAAGGAGTCCAGAGGGATCATCTGCGGAATGACATGGAATATTTACTTGCATGATCATTTCGTATTCCCTAGTGTCCTTGCTAAAGCGGTTACGCGGCTCTGTTTTAGCCAGGATAATAAATCTTCTATATGTTCTGGGACTACATGCACGACTGTGCCACTCAGAATGCCTCACCACTGAAAAGTTCTCCTCTGTGATTCCACTATTGTCCAGATGGAGGATACCCTGCAACGAGCGGTAGGTGAGGAGGTCCACCTCCTCCAAGTCCTGACCGCTCAGAGGAATGGAACACAGCTGTTTCCACACCCAGGGTGCCAAGTGAAGGTCCAGCGGCTTTTTGGTGCGAATCGCCACTGCCATCAGGATGCCCAGAAATCGAAACTGGACCATGTGATCCTCGGAGACAGCGGCTGGGTTTAGCAGAAACCTGACACAGCAAATCATATTCCCCCATTAAAGCATAGATCTTACCATATCTTCCTTAGTTCTTTACCATTTCTTACCTCAGTTCCCAGCTCATTACAAGTGTCTAATTTCAAGCATCATTTATTTTACACTCCCTGCCAAATAGTGTTTATGAAAGGCAGAGGCACAGGTACCTGTCTGTATTGCTGCCCATATCTGCAGATCTGTTAGGAGTGTGAATGAGAAGATCCACAACCCCAGACTGCAACTCCTGAAAATGGAAAGCATAATAATAGATACAGTGTAAGAACTGCAGAGGAACAGGGCTCTTAGTCATTTAACTCATTAAAAGGTTTCGCAGACACTTTCATACTGGGTTAAAGTTAGATGCACTACCTTTTGGTAGGAAAACCTGGAAGATATTCATTTTATTATTAAGTCATTTAAAAATAAAAAATAGTTTTTCTTAGCATAATTTTAATGAAAATGACCCATTTTTGTGTCTGTATCTGCAGCAGATGGCTTCATATTTCAAAACGGCATACATATTTGGAGACGGTCCCTTTGTAGCCACTGGCTGGCATAGCCCAATGCTATATCTAAACCATCAAAATAAGAAATGCATACACACAATGGCCACTTTGTTAGTTACCCCAATACAGTGCCAGGCTTGACGAGATGTGCACTCAGAGAAGCTATTCTGCACACCACTGTCATACTGTGCTGTTATTTTTGCACTTGTGACCTTCCTGTTAGTTTTAATGAGTCTGGCCAATTCTCCTCTGACCTCTCTCATTAACGGGGAGTTTTTGGCAACCGAACTTGCACTGGCTGGATGTTTTTGCTTATTGCACAGTTCTCTGTAAAACTCTAGAAACTGTTGTGTCCCAGCAGGACGGCTGTTTCCGAGACCCTGGATCCATCATGACTGGCACCGACAGTCACACCACATTCAGGATCGCTTAGATAATACATCTTAGCTGTTCTAAATGCTTGCACAAACAGTAACTGAACCCACTGACCCTGTCTGTGCTGTAGGTATTCAGCTGCATCCACATTATTTGCTGTTTAGAGAAGCAGTCTTGTTTGTGTTAATTAGCAGGTATGCCTAATAAGCTCTACAGAGTATATACTGTAACAGTAATATTGTTTAGCTTCATATAAAATCAACATATTTGTCTGGTGGTATTGACCATGCACTGCATTAGCCACAATACTATATGCAGTGTTTGTATACAAAACATCATTCAAATACAAGTAAGTTTAACCAATTTTTGCAAACAACAGTAACTAAATGGCACATTTAGGACAAAGTCTGCCAATGTATGGAGTCTAACCCTTTCTGTGCCAACAGATGCTACAGAATTCCAGATTTCATTGAAGAAGAATAGAGAAACCAACCTGGCACATTTCTGTAATGGTGTCATCAAATACCCCACCTGCATCATCTGCCCCTTCGCCAATTAGCTTCACCTTCCAAGCACGGGATGGCAGCCTAAGCTCCAAAGGGTTCAGGCTCACCACCTGCCTGGCAATTTGCACAAAGATTGGCTTGCTGGAGCGCCCCCTGCAGGCAGGAAGCAGAAAAACTAATTAGCATTTTAACGCAAATAAATGAAGCTCGTAGCTACATCATACACATAAAATATGCCCCAAGGACTAAAATTCATTCTAGAAAGTATGGAGGACATTTTGAAAAATAAATTTGTTTAACTAGACAATCATTTGTGAGAAGCTCATAAATGGTTTAATGCCAATAATCAGGTTATTTTAAAGATACAATTGAAAATATTATAACAATAATCAATATTACAAAAAAATCTTGTCAATACCATACATACTGTGTGGCTGCCACACTCACATAACAAATACTAATATACTGCTAATAACATCGTAGTCACAATATGTTATAACAATGTAAGAATAGCCACTTTACATACAATAAATGTTCATTAAGAACCAGTAAACCTTGTACCTAGCAGATATTCTCTTGACGGTTATTTGAGGTCCGTAGGTCTTGCCCTGCGTCATGGTCCTTCCGATGGACCTGACCAAGGGCAGCGTGTTCACTTTTGGGGACAGCAGGCCCCGGAGCTGGCCCTGCACAATGGAGGAGGTCCCCAGACTGTAGCGTGAAGCAGGCACCTACAGGGGTGCAGATGTCACAATGATCAATAGTCAATAATGAAAGAGTCTCATGAGCCACGACGCAGTCTGAGGTGCCGCAGGAAAGGCACGCTACCTGGCTTCTGGGGTCGAGGTTTAACAGTCGCCACGACTTATACATCAGGTCAGAGAAATGGTACAGGACTCTGAGGCGAGCGGCGAGCATGTCAGGGCTGCAGTCCTTCAGGGCGTTGTACTGGGGGGGGATCGACTTAGGCAGGCCCAGCTGGACGGTGAGTAAAGCACCTGAGTAAAACCATTTAAAATCTATTAAAGAAGCAATATCACAGACCGATAAAATCAATTCTACTTTGTGTTTTGCATTTTAACTCAATAAGAAAATAAGTGAGAATTCTTCTGAGGTAATACACTTTGAATTACTGCGATTATGCATAGATATTAAATAAATAAAATCTAAGGCCACCAAATTAACAAAACAGGGGTAGAAATTATAAAGCAATTAACCTTACAGTCAGATCATTTTCTCCTACAATGACTATTACTACAGGATAACTAGCCCATGCTACATCATTTAATGTAAGCTTGTTTCACTGTTTCATACCAACTAAGAATATTTTATACGCTGAATGCCACACAAAATAATAATAAATAAACAGAAGCTATCTAAGGAAGCTTAGTATGGTACAATATATAAAATTTTATGTTTGAAAGCTACAACAATTAATTGTAATCCCTCAGCTAAACATGTCTGTTTCTCTGAGATTGTATTTAATTGTTTACTCGATTCTAAACTATCTCCCACTAAAATGCCCATTCTTCCCTTTCCCTACGTGAAGCGTAAAGCTACTCCTGCACACATGAGGCTTCATATCCGATCCTTAATCCTATAAACAAGCACATTCACAAGTCTTAAAGGTCCCTTGTATTTTCCTCCTCAAAATTGTGTTCTACAAGCTTAGAAATCTTTCTCAAACTCAGTGTTAAACTGGCAGACAGCAAGTCTTCACGTCCATATTATTCTAGTTTGATTTTTTTTTAAATCCAGATTTTTGCTAATGATGATGCCCATTAACTTATGAGCAATAATTTAAAGGAGGGGCATTTTATGTTTTGCAGGTACTGATTTGCTGTGTGCCTCGCTTAACGAAAATAAACTTAAATGTATTACTGTGCTTCCTGTATGTACGTTTGGCCTGTTTGTTCTGAGCTGTGCAGGCACCTGGGGTTTTGGAGGTGGGAGATGGTGTGGTCCAGGCAGCGTTGTGGCACCGGCCTGCCGAGATCTGCCGGATGTTCCTGCCTTGCAGAGCTGTGACGAGCATGGGCTCCTTCACCGGGTTTGAGTGGCCCAGACCGAGCTGAAACAAGAGATTGCAGAAAATAGACCTTATTTGCTTAACTTTGGTTAAGTAACTTGTACTGCACCAGTGATACGTCACCTGCAACTGCCCATTTATAATGGGGTTTCTTACAATTTCTCAGCACCTCTGAAAATAGGTTTTTGAAAAGTGTATATTTAAAGCTGATTTAAACAAAAAATAGAAGAATGAGATTCTAAATGGTCTCAGGTTATTGGTGCAGTGTTTGTGCAGGATAAAAGCGTTTATAGCACTTAGGGATAAATGTTTTTTAGATAGGTGAAATATTTTAAAAAGTCAAGGCATGTCAGACTACCTCAAAAGTGACTGAGAGGCCTCAGACTCAAGAGGGTTAAATTACCATGGCATTAAATATCCGGATGGAATAATTGTAGCTTGTATACCGATAGTCACCTATTTGCATAAATACGCAAACAGATGTGAATAATGAAGTTAATACACAGCATAATAGACAGTATACTTAGGATACAAAATAGATTGTGTTCTATTGAAGTTCTGTAGTCAAACAAAATTCAGGTCAACAGCACAGGTGGGATCCTTCACTCCCCCACCTGTCCTTCACAGTTGCAGCCCCAGGCATAGACATCTCCAGTGGAGGAGAGAGCCAGGACGTGCTCGGAGCCGACAGCAATGTCTTCCACAAATACTCCCTCCAGAGCCGGAACAACCTGAGGACGATTGTGGTTCTTCAGCAGTGAGTCCGGGAGACCTATTAGTCTCTCTGAAAGGGAACAAGCTCCGTGACTGACTGAATCTTGGAAGAAACGTATAAAGACACATTACAGCCATTTTCTACTACCTTGTCCAAAGGTATATACACGTCCATCCATCGCCAGGGCAACAGAAAACTGGGTTCCACAGGCTACTTTCTTCATGCCTTTGTTGCAAATGTGGTCGATTTTCTGTAAAATACATAAAGATTTGAAGGTGCAGGAGTGATTTTAATTCATTGCTTTCGCTTATCATGGAATAATAAAATGATTTGTAAGGAGGATACCTGAGGATAGCACTTCATAGTGCAAGGTCCAGTGCCAAGTTTCCCATAATCTCCATCTCCAAAGGCCCAGATGGTCATGCCATCTGAGGACAGCACCAAAGTGTGGTTGACACCACAGGAAACCTAGGTAGAATGTAATCATATTTATTTTTCTAAACCACAAATCCTGTTGTGAGTTCTGATAGAGTGCTGTTTGTAATAGTAATTATTCTGGCTTTAGGGAAACACAGTTTTTCCCCAAAGATTATGCTTGAAGAGGTTTTCAAATTTAAAAAAGTACATGTGGTGAGGTACACAAATAACTATTTACCCATCTAAAAGAGGCCCCTTTGTCATTGAGTTCTGAGGCTGAATCACTTACCTGCCCTACACTGCAAGTTTCTAGCGCCATCACCCTCTCTGGCAACATCTTGTTTGATGTTGACCTTTG